GTAGCACCTGTTGGCGCCGCGGGCCCTGGGGCATCCCCTGGGCCCCCTCCTTGGGCGCCCCTGGGGCCAGCCGCCCGGGGCCACCTGAGCAGCAGCTGGTGCAGCTGGCCCTGGGGCATTCCCTGGGACCATTGCGTGGTCATCCCTGGGGCCAGCCGCCCGGGGTCGCCTGAGCAGCAGCTGTTGCAGCTTGCCCCGGGACCACTGCTTCGGTGCTCCCTGGGGCCAGCCTGAGGTCCCAGAATCCGTGACTTCCGCAACCTCCGTGACAGAATCACAGCCTTCTTCACAGGGCTTTCCCATTCCTGACAACGTCGGTGTGCTGTCTCCTCACTCTGCTACCTTCCTTTATTTAGAATGGGAGGTGCGGCACCGTATTCCACCTGGCACTATCAAACAAGCCTTAATATCTGGAGGGGAGAACAGGCCCTGGATGAGGTACATGAGAGGGGAGCTGACATCAGCGGCGTTTTTGCAAGAATTTGGACAGCAGTGCTCTGAGATTGTAAGCCAAGCTCCCAGCTTTCCTGCTTGATTCTTGCTGACTCCTCACAGGAGAATGGGGTTTCGTGCAGATTCATCAAACTGTATAGAAATCAGAGAGCTAACAAAAGAGCATTTTTTAAAAAGAGTCCTGTCTGTAGAAAGTTCTGCTGCTGCTTCCACTGTTGCTTCATGTATAGCACGGGCAGGTGTGGACTTTTCTGTCTGCAATGCAATTTCCTAAAGCATCTTCTCATGCATTTAAGAGACACAGCTGTCTACTCTATCTGCCTATCTAGATTTTTACACTGCAGTCATTATTCTGGTACTTTAGCAGAGGCTGCCTTAATCTGGTCCCCTCCCTTCTGCCTTCCTTGCTTCATAGCTTTTTTTCTTAGTTTTTCCACTTCCAGTGCCAAGAGAGCTATTGTAGATGTGTGATATCCACCTCTGATGAAGGGTTAGCAGGGAGAGAGGAGAAGCAGAGGCTCGTCAGCAAAGAGATCACATCCTTCCTTAGGCATCATCCAGGTGGCAGAGACTGAATTTTGCCGACAGTTCCTAGATCGACGTTTAATGGCTAGAAGCAACATGCTTGGTGGAGCGTCTGTAGTTTCAGTGGAACTTGCACCATGCTCCAGAAGCCAACATACTCAATCTGTCGTAAAGCAAGGCTCAGCTTTCCAACCAAGCCTTTGTCAAACAGATCAGTCTACAAAGAAGGCTCGTTTTTTGATTGCTCAGTTGTAATGAATGGTTTTATTTGTGATCTGCCCTGATGCCGTGGTGGAAGCGCACTATAAATAAATAAGGGGTCTCTAGTTGTTTCTCTTCCCCAGCTTCATCCCTTTAATGCTTAACTCTTCATCTCCTTCCTTTGTAGAATTAGGAACCTAAGGAACTTTTATTTATTGTGTTTGAGCAGTTTAGCCAGAGAGCTAGGCTGACTGCCTCCTGTTACAGGAGGAAGTGGGGCAATAAGCTAAAATGATCAGCCAATCTCAGGCTATGCACAAAGTTTCACATTTTCTTCCATTTGCTGATGATGATCATTGTTGGGGTTTCTCTTGTTTCTTAGGCAAACTTCTCTGTTCCAGTGGACTCCTTTCTCTCTGATCTAACCAGTAGTCAGATGTCAAAACAGCTCCCCATTATGACTGAAGCTTTAGAGTGTATCCGGGCAGAAGGTCTTAAGACAGCTGTTCTAAGCAATAACTTCTACCTTCACAGTGGGGTGAGCTTTTTGCCCCTAGACCGAAACCAGTTTGACGTGGTAAGCCTGAACAGATTAAAAAATGCATTTATGTAGCTAGATTTATAAAAAGCATTCAGCAGAATTCTCTAAGTGCAGGTCCAAATTAAAGATAGTAGAACAGTAAGAAATATACTGTGTGTTAGTATAACACATGGCGTGTCTTCAGCTGCATCTCCCTCCAGTGACTAGCCCATAGCAAGGGGTAGAGTGAGTTCTAGCCACCTGTGCATTTAGTGGATTCATTACAAAGTGGACCACAATTAGCTAGCGTATTACATGTCTAATAATGCCTGTAAAAGATTTAGAAGATGGAATGCTCTATATAAGTTATTATTAACAGTTCCAAAGCTCCATTCATCTGAAAGGGTCCCAGAGAGCACTTCACACACAGCCCCACTGAAATGCTGTCATATCTGGGGAAGTGGACAGCAGCCAGGCAAATAGCCATCTCGACAGTTGGAGAGAGGAGGGAAAATTTTGGCCAGGGACATAGGGACACGTCTTTGGTCTTATCAGAGGTTGAACTAAGCAAGCTGGTGCTGATTTAACAAGCTATTTATATATATATATTTATTGTATTTAGTTATTTATTTTGGAATGCTGCCACCTTGGGCTCCAGAATCGAAGCTTAAATCTAGTTGGGAGAGCGTCTCGCTCTGCCATGGACTCATCAAGAGGGATCGATTTTAAAGTAAAGTATTTTGGCTGTCTTCGGTGAATGTTCTCTCTCCTGTGCTGTAAACGAACACAGATGCGAAGCGTGAGCAAGGAATGTGGACAGCATTGTGAAGTCTGAAACCTTTGATGTTCAGATGTTAAGTCTGTTCTATATGAAATGATTAACCTTTCCTCTACTGTTCAGTGGGTGGTAGAATATTCAGTCATTGAATGCTCCAGACACAATAGCTTCATCTTCAACTCTCAAATAGCTAGTTGTGTACATGTTCACTTAATAGATATGTTTAAAAAGAAAAAGCCCCAAAGTAAATATACATTTTACCTAAGTTAATAATCTTTTTTTTTGCTGATCGGTTATCTTAAATCTGGCTGAGTTTTCAGCACATTCGAAACTAGACAGGAAGCTGTATACTTCCAGTTTCCTTGCATTTGCTTTAGTCACCAGGTGTCCGTTCGTTTTGCATATTAAGTGTGGAACAGTCATGGCTGCACCTAGATTTAGAGACAATATCCGTTTATAGTCTGGACACAATTTAAGTTTTATTTGACAAGATTTCACAAAATCTACCATGAGTAGAACTCTTTCTATGTATGTGTTGAATCCCAACTACAGTACATAAGGAGACCCAGACTGTGAAACTGACTTCATAAACAGGTAAGTATAGTGTCATGGGCCTGGCTGAGTGACGTGCAACACTGAAGCAAATAGCATAGGGGAAAAGGAAATCGAAACTGTCCAATTCTGTGGATTTCAGTCCTCTAGGATGTTGTTTTGTAAGGAAGGAATTTCTTTTTTTAAATCTTTTTTTTAACAATACACTTTTCCTATATATGCCAACTCCCATTTTTGCACTGACAGAACTCCAGAAGTTCACTCATAAGTTAGGCTTGTTTTATAGCCCTCACTGAAGGAAAAACAATTCAGACATGAAGAAAATCAGATCCATGTTTTTAAAAGTCATGGCTGTTTAACGTCATCTTGTTAACATCTGGATGTTAGATCATTTTCTATTCACCTTTCCTTGTATGTGCTTTACAAGAAAAACCAGTATCTATTAAGATAATATATTATAATAATAATAAAGGTATGTTTCTAAAGTGCCTTTCATCTCAAAGCATTCTAATAGCTGCATACCCTGGATATAGGACACGCCTAGCAGTGAAATGTCATCCCCTCTGGAATGTGGTTGCTGTTTAACAATGCACAGCAAGATTGCGCAATAATTTAGGACAGGAAATGAAGGAAAATGTCTGTATCTTAGATAGTTCTCTTTTTAAAGTGCCCATCAATGTGGTATCTAAGCTAATATTGTATCCCGTTGTAAGTGCAGTATTTATGGAGACAGTATGTACTTCGTGAAATTGGAATTTGGACAGGACATTGGGGTTAACATCTCTACTGTTGTGAAAGTTGATTAGGGATTGCTGATGAGCATAACAGTCAAGACCTCAGTTTTGTGTTTCAGCTGCAAGATGACACCCCCAGCAGTTCAGCCCGCCTTTAGCACAATATCAAACTATTGGTTTAGTACTGACTGGTGAAAGAGTGCCACCTATGGAACCACCTGCACCATGAGTATTCCTTGAAGGCCTCCCATCCAAGTACTGACTTGACCGTGCTTGGCTTGGTTGATCTGACAAGATCACAGCTGAGGCAATATGTCTGCAGAACAATGATTCATCAGATTAGGTCATAGCCTCTCTACCAGGGCAGCTCTCCCACTGTTTAGGCGTGTGCAGCAGTCTCACGGTCCTGTGTTTCATTTATTGCACTGCGTGTCAGTCACACACTCATTCATACTTGTATCCTCCATGTCCAGAACTGTCCTGATATTCATGAACGAGAATTACAATGGCTTTGTGCATACCTGTCTCGATCGTATGTTGTCATAGGTAATTGAATCTTGCCGGGAAGGGATATGCAAACCAGACCCTCGTATCTATACGTTATGCTTGGAGCGCTTGGGTGTTCAGCCAAAGGAATCCATCTTTCTTGATGATATTGGGCAGAACTTGAAAGCAGCCGCCCAGCTTGGCATTAAGACAGTGAAGGTACAAAGTAGCACCCTCAGGGCTGCATGGGGACAGTTGTTTGTAGAACGTTTATTGTCTTAAATATTTTGGCTTGGTTTCTAAATCCAAATTCTGCATTTGATGTGAATGTGCTAGTATTTTCACACAACGGCATTAGATACAGATTGAACATGTCCATTGTCCTGTATGACACCAGTAACCACAGGGTTAACTGTGGATGCCAAGATTGCAGGGTTCCATGTCCAGCTCTGCCACCAACTCCCTGTGGGCCTTGGGCAAGTCACTCCTCCCTCCCTGTGCACCTCAGTTCTCCATCTGTTAAACAGCAGTAATGACATGTGCCAAACATGGGGTTGTGAGGCGTAATTAACTAGCCCTGTGGAAGCTAGATAAGCCTCATGTACATGTCATCTGGGGGTTGGCTAACTTCCAAACCATGGTGAGGAGGTGGAAGGGTAAGGATAAGACTCATTGGTGGACTGAGTTCTGACCTCCTTCTGCCTGTCCCACTGGGAACTCCCACTGTTATCCTAGCCTGTGCTTGCAATACGATCATCCTCTCCCCATTGGAATTGCTTCCCCTTTCTCCTAGGACAGAAACCAGGCAAAATGTAGGTGTTTAGATCAGGAGAGGGAAGGCAGTATTGGTGCTACCTTTGGTGTAGTGTCATGGCAGATGCTACAGAGCAGTCACAAGAATGCAGCACCCTGTCTTTGCCAAGAGATCAGAATCTTATTAGCTATTTATCATACAACTTTTTCTCGCCGGTATCAGGTTGATGACCCAGAAGCAGCTCTCAAAGAGTTAGAAACCTACTTGGGCTTCCCTCTGTGGGGATTTGTTCCACAAACTCGCTTAGTGAGACCAACAATGGAAATCCCAAAAGATCCCCTACAGAAGTACCTTGAAGAGGTCCTAGGTGGCCGGACAACAGGTATTTTACACTTTACAACTTTAAAGGTCACATATTCTGGGTCTGTTGGCTCTTTCCAGCATAAGACAAATAGATTTTTAAAAATATTAATAGTATCAACTACTGCAAAGCCACTCTCATGGTTTAGGTACCTTTCCAAGCTCTTTGTGAAATGCTAGGCTGGTTAAAACATTGTTATTGGTATTTACCTGGATAGTTAGAAGGAAAACCTACTCTGTGACTATGCTGAATTCGATGTCCGACGTACTGTCTGCCTGTACAGTGAGTATCTGTACTGTGTAGCATTGTGCTCTCTGACCAAAAGCTTCTAGATATTGCATCTTTCTTAAAAGGCATTTGTTGTTTATAGTGGTTCTTCTCCAACACTTGTAAAATTGGTAATAGCCAGTGAATGATACTCCCTGGCAGGAGGTCACTTCTCTGCCAGGGGATTCCTCAGGCACACAGGTATTACATTGCCATTTAGGACCACAATGTAAACACCCCATCATTTAGAAAGTCTGTAGTTTAATTTGGATTAGGCCAAGTTTTAAAGCAACAATGTCAGATTTCAAAGTCATGTTTCAATACAAGCAAGTACCATAGCTGGACTATTAATAACTACTAAGATTATTTAAAGAGAGAGAATTCAACACATCTAATTTCTTTTTCATTATTCGTGCTATTTGTTTACTTGCATACTTCGTTCTGCTTGGATAATAAAAATAGATCAGTTAACTTTGCTTTGGTTTCTGGTCAGTTTCATTTCTGTGTTTTCTTGCATTAGCACAGTTGTGCAACTTTTGGATGGCAAGCATTGCATGGGCAATGTTTAACTAAATAAAAAAAAAACTCCTTTAAATTTAGATTTAAAAACAAATCATGAAAATGTTTCTTTTGACATTAGGCTTGAAGAACTTTATATGTTGAATTTCTGCTGCTTGACAATATCCTTTTGAGTAGGGCTTGGAGGATCGGTTTACAGAAATCCAGAATCCCTAGCATTTGCATGTCTGAACCAAAGCTGACCTTTTTTTTATGCTCTGTATTGGTTTGGATTTTAAAAAGCAGTATTTTTAAAACCTTAAGATAGTCCCAATTCCTTGGATCTAGTCGTAACTGGTGCAAAACCAATATTCAGCTTTGCTTCTTCCTTCTGCCATTAGATTTCCAGAATCTCACCTCTATTTCAAGCCAGGAGAGGGCTGTATTATTAAAGAAATTGCACCATTGACTTAGAAGCTATGCCCTTGTGGGTCACACTATGTATAATATGTAATATGCTGAATTAGTCAAACAAAGACACCAGTGTTATGTAAATGATATTGAAGTGCATTTATATGGTATTCTGAAACATGACTGTCAAAGACTGCAGATCATATGTGCACAGTTTACAAGAAAAAAGGATGATTTTCTAACTGCAATCAGACCCAGCGATCAAAGTGCCAAACTGAGGTCTTTTCAGCTCATATATTATCACCCATAATAAAGATTTTGAAAATAGACATTAGTGAACAATTCTGCTGATGACGGAGATAGAAGAGAATCCCTCTTATGTGTCAGCTCTGCAGGAATAAAATTCAGTAAAAAATGATTTTCATCATTAAAATCAGCAGCTCTGACTCTCAAAATGCACAAGGAGCAGATCTGCTGAGCTAGAAGGGACCATTTTTACAGTCACTTTTCTAGCTGACTGTATTTTAAATTGGAGAAGAATTCATGCTGTCAGCAATTACTGCAGATGACCAGTTCAGATTGATCAGATGACGACCAATTAATAGTTGAAATACTAGGGGAGTATGTTAGTGAATTAAGGATGGGAGCCAAATGTGCTGCCCAGTGAGAGGATCAAAGTTCACAAGCAAGCTCACACCTCTGTGCTGAGGAGCTGACCCTGTCTGTTCTGGGCCAGGAGGAGTGCAGAGCTATGTGGTCCTCACTCTCGTATCCCTAAAGACTGGGTCTGGAGTAGCCATAGAAATGTCTGATTGTCCCTTTTGGTGTCGGACTAGAGCTGGTACTACTAGAGAGGAAGGGAGGGCTGAGACTGTAAGGGGAATATGGCTAAATGGAATGACAAAGTATGGAAATCCCTGAACAAGGGAACCTGCAAGGTGCAGAGTACTCGGTCCCCAATCCAGTAAACTTGTGCTTAACTTTGAGCACGTGAGTAATCCTACTGCCTTCATTGAAACCATGCACCTACTCGAAGTTATTTATATGTGTGTGTTTTGCTGGATCAGGGCCAGTGTGCTCAGTACTTTTCAGGATAGCCCTTAGAGCAGGAATGGCACGTGAAAGGAGCCTCTAGCTTGCTTTGCTGGATACAAGGTAGAGGGCTTTAAGCCTCAAGCCAACAGCTGCATTCTGTACTAACTGCAGTTTCCAAATGGTCTTCAGATGTCGTCCCGCCCATTCAGAACTCAGTGCAGTGATCCAGTCTCCGGTGACAAAGGCCCAAATGACTGTAGTGAGCTCTACACTTTGCGGCCTTCAGCTCTTGTTAATGCAGAGTAATAGTTCCTTTCCCTTTCTCTGAGAAACAACCCGTGCCTAGAACTTCCTGATTGGGGAGCGGGGGAAGGAGCGCTGGGCAAAAAATACAGAGCAAAGGTCAAGCAGATTTCTTGCCATCCAAGAGTGATCATGGTCACTCAAAAGGGGCCCATACTGATTCCGTAACAAAGGGGCGGTGCTCAGCCTTCTGCTGATGCAAGTGACAGTCTCTAGCTTTGTCCATTTTGGAGTAAAATAAAACATGGAAAAGAGATGAGAAATAATTTCAGTTCCTGTACTTTTCATTGATCATCCCTTTTCAAACCTTCAGGTCCTCTGATATTACGACAGTTCAGTCATGGACAATCGAACCCCACTTACTATATCAAGTTTGGGGATCGTCACTTAGTCCTGAGGAAGAAACCTCCTGGCAACCTACTTCCAACTGCTCATGCTGTGGAGAGGGAGTACAGGTGAAAAAGCACAGTGCGCTACTGAACCGTTCGCAATTCTGGCTGGCCAGCATAGGTGCTCTCTGATTATTGTAACACAATTCCAAATGTGCACATCCTGTACACAGTGCTGGTTTCCAGTCTCACCTTTTCTATTCCAAGCCCTGCTCCATGAGAGTAGCTGTCAGTAGGAAACTGGCAGACTTAGGACATATAAAGGCAAGAGATCCTTTTTTGTAGTATAAGTGACAGGCATATTCCTCTTAGCACATTTAAGGAAGTGCTGCGTGCGATTCAAGAGGTGACCTGGTTGAATCTGCGTTAATACTGCACCAGAGACGCAGCATAGCATTATGAGTTACTGTGCTGCCGGCATTGCCTCCTTTAGGATGATGCATAAAACTAGGGTTACCATATCTCAAAAATAAAAAAAGAGGACCCTCCACGGGCCCTGGCCCCGCCCATTTCCCCACCCCCTAGCCC